GTGTCCCTGCACGGGGAGGGGACAGCAGGCAAAGTGTCCCTGCACGGGGAGGGGACAGCAGCAAAGTGTCCCTGCACGGTGGGGACAGCAGCAAAGTGTCCCTGCACAGGGAGGGGACAGCAGCAAAGTGTCCCTGCACGGCGCTGACCTGGAGTCACCCACTAGCCTGGGCTGGAGCTCACTGGCTGCACGTGTGTTTGTAACACCCTGTACTGAGGATTCTTGGAACGTTCTTTCCAGAGAATCACAGGGACAGGGCTCACCCCTCCAAGGCCACTTGCAGGCCAATCTCCCCAGCAGCAGCAGCATCCTGCTCCTCGAGATAAACTATCAGTTTATACAAGGGGAAAGGATCCAAAGCCTGCTCACGTGCTCTGAAATCAGGTGACCCGTGAGTCAAGGGACAGAGTAATAAATTATTAGGAAAAACAAAACACTACACTAAAAATAGTGAACACGAGCAGCACATGAAGAATAACAGTTTTTATCCAGTCAAAGCTCAAGGCCCTCCCCAGCCTCTTTTGTATCTGGGCAAAACAAATTGACATGAGCAAAGACAGACAAACAAATAAAACCTTACTTTAGCTCCTCCTTGATAATTCACAACTGTATATTTAATTGAAAGTAAACAGAAGGGGGAAAAGCCCAGAAAGCTGAGATTTGGACCAGCAGAAAAAGTATTAATGCCCAAAGTAAATATCCAATGCAACTTCAATCAGAAAATATCAAAGTTACTTTCTTTCAGGAAAAATTGCTCCAAGATGAATTCAGCTCAGATAGGCCAAAAGCTTCACTTCAGCTACTAACACAGTTCAGGCAACATTAAGGATTTGCCCACTTGTCAGGTTTAATAGATCTAATAAATTATTGTGAATGCTCAAGTTAAGCATGAGGTAAAAAAAACAAAAGCCCTTCACAAACATTCCAGAATCCAAGTGCCTGATACCCATAATTTATTTTGTCAACCCTCCCATTAGCAAAACCATTATACAGAGATTTTCTACTAGAAATCAATAAAGAAAATAAATTTTGTTATTATCAAGGGACAACAATGTATAATTTTGTTGGAGGAAGAGGATTTTTTCTAAGAGATAAGAAAACAGCAAGCGCAGAATAGTAGTCAAAAAGACTTAAAGTTTCCATTTAGAAGTATCTGATTACATTGGCTATTACTGTAAACAGCTGGTTTTTTGCAATCACTTATCTTCAAGAACTAATAAAAAACACATCTGAGAGATTTTTAGCACAGAACATTTTATTCTTACCATCTGAATTAGTGGCTGAAGAAAGTTCTGAAAGGATCAGAATCTGGCATGGGAACCCAGAAAACAAGCAACCTGCCCTCTTTATCCCCAGAAAAACATGCAAACTGGGTTCACTACACCCTCCTTGCTGGCTGAATCCCTAGGAAACAGCATTCAGAGAATTGCTTTTAGCATGAGCTGGTTTTCCTCTCGAGTATGGAAAAATGCTTGTCTGAAATCCAAAGATTTTCCTCAGAGATAAATTCCTCACAGTCCAAGCTGGAAGCACGCCCTGCCAGTGGGGACCTGGGCTGGGCACAGCCCCCGTGAATGGCAGCAGTGAGCAGATGGCACTGCCTTATCTGCCTGCCCAGGGAAGAGGCAGCACTGCCCGCAGGATTGCTCATGGAATCTGTGTGAAAAAGGCACACACGAGGTTGTGCCTCACCACCACCCAGCCTTGTAAGGTACCTCTGGTCGGTGCCTAACAGGAAACCGTATTTTCCTGTTCTTTGTCTCTTAAAACATCATCTTTCATAACAAGAAAATTACCCTTTTTTTCTTCTCCTTTCAAGATCCTCCATGGCTTACCAGCATTCCTGTTGTCACCCACTCACTACTGCAGTAAACTGGCCTGTGATTACTTTAATCACCAGTCCTCACTCCCCCTGTGTTGTTCTACACTCTTGATTAAAATGACTCTGCTTTGCAGCTTCTCCATTACGGTGATAAAGGCTTGTTAGCCTGTGGGAGCACAGTTTATCTGTCTCCATCAGTATTATCCCTTTGTCTCCACACAGCCCTCTGTTGGAAGCCATTGATTTAGCTTTTGATACTTGCATAAGGTCTGAGGTGAGGACAGTCTTTTGTTCCATGCTTGTATAGTACCCAGTAAAGCACAGATACCCAAGTGGGAGTCTTAATTTGTATCACAGATAACAAATAACTCCATGAATTTGCTTCCCTTCTCTTTAAGTCCTCTTATGACTGAGTTACAAGTTACACACCTGGAGGATGAAGAAGTCCTTGATCCATCTGACACAGCAACACAAAACAGTGAGCAAACACATGCTGAGAATACAGAGGCTTGGTACACAACTACATGAAGTACTTCCTTCACTCTGCAAAGAAGCCACTGCTGTAGTCAAGACCCACAAGCATAGATGTACCTCACAAACACAGCAAAAGCTGAGGAATCTACATGTTCTTAACAGCACTGATAAAAGAGACAACAAGTTGTTCCTGCTGTATGAGAAGTGACCTGGACTCAGTTATATACACAGCTCTTGTTCATGACTTCCCAAATGAAACCCCACCCTCCAGTACTTTCAGTGCCATGAAGCTTAGTCTATAACAACAATCCTTCAGATATCTCACCCTAAAAAGAGATGTTGACACTTGTGGTTTGAATTTAACTACAGTAGGTACAGCACCCATAGAGTAACCTCACGATAAAAATAGAGAGCACTTGGGGCACTTCCAGCATCCTGCTCACACAGCCCAAGGCCAGTGGGAGTCAGAGTCACATCCACCCCACCACAGGCTCCTCCTCACCTCTGCCACGCCCAGGTCAAATGCAGAGAGCTTCCCACCTCCTGCTCCCTTTCCCCTTTCTGATGCCATTTAAGTTGCATGAGGCAATTTTCACGTTTAGTTAAATGGAAAAGATTCAGAGATCTGCTCAGATTATAAACCTCTGCATTTAAACTGATGTTTTAACTGCCAGGCATTTTAAAGTATACAGTACTTCAGACATCTTTTGGAAAGATGTTATAGGAACTCCAATACACAAGGCCTCTAGGAATTCATATCCACTTTTTCTTCGTTTACCTTTTCTCCTTCTCCAGCTGGTTTGCTTTGCCTTTTAAAATTTGTTTTAAAGTCATAAAACCAACAAGTGATCTTGAGTTTCATAAACTTTGCTAAAACTGGAGAGTAAAATGTGTTAGTTGCCATGGCAGTAGTGAGGAGTTGCTGGGTCAGGATGTAGAGAACTTCTCTTGTTCTGTCTCATCATTTGCATCAGAAGTTCAGCCATCTGTTATTAACTATTTAACAACAGTCTTGCTTGTTAGCACTGGTGCTTGCTATTTAAGTCTCCCCACCTTCAGCCCTTTTGAAAATCTCCTAATTAAAGGAAATTCATCTGAGGGCTCAGTTATCTTTCAGGTAGGATGACCACCATTACTTCAAGTTGGCCAATATTCTCCTTTCTCACCAAGGAAAAAGCAAACACTTATGCAGACACCACCCTCTAGAAGCAGCAGCTTTATTGTTAGACAGCAATTTGAAAAGAATTTCAACAGACAGTAGATGATGTGGCTGAACTCCAAGAGAGGCTATATCCCTCCATTTAAGTACACTCCACTATACAATACCTTCCCCAAGTTCCATAGCATCCCTCAATCTTCTTTATCCCAGCTTCTTGATATTTCAAAAGAAAAGTTTTGTAGTTTTATTTCAGAGGATGAATAGCATTGATTCAACCATGTGTTGCTAACAAGTAAATACTGTCTTTCACCCTCTGAGAGAATCTGAAATATATTTGTCTACTTGCTGCATACATGAAGAAAACAAAACTTAGTTCTTCATTTCCAAGCATAGAATTTTGGAGTTAAAAGCATTTTACCTTATCTTTACTCTGCTATCTTCATTTAAATCTGCATAACCTAAAGAAAAATACTCTGAGTCTCATTCTAGGAAAGCAGGCCAGTCTTGTTGCTCCTCACTCATCACACCCTCAAGAAGAAAGTGGGAGGCTGTACAGTGACAAAAGGGAACAATGCATCTCACTGTTCCTAAAACTACTTCATAAAAAAACACACACAAAAAAAACCCACCAAAAAACCCCCCAAAATACCCAAAAAACCTAAAACCCAGTACTATTAGGGGCAAGGAAGAGGCCTTCAGCAGAAAGCAGGAAGTCCTTGTTTCAGTCATTTAACACCCTAACATATGCTAAGAGCACTCTGTTCACAGGTACAGCTCAGATCCTCCAAAATTATAAAGTGGAAGAAAATTTTGAAAAATACTTATGTGGAATACAGAGAGTTGCAGGGCATCAGAAGACTAAGTCACACATCCCAATAACAAGACTATTTTCCAGGCTGGTCTGTCCTTCATGATGACAAGCAGACCAGCAGCCTGTTACATGCACAAATAATTTCAGAGCAGCAGAACATGGCTCAGAGACAGCACAGGCTGAGATGCCTTCTCAGACTAAAAAAAAGAGAGATTGGGTAGATACAACCACACATGCATAGGATAGATCTGATATAATACAAAGGTTTAGAGATCCAGAACAAGAACCCAGTGTCATTACTTCTGGCTCAAAAGAGAATGATGCAACTGAACAGTCTAGAAGTCCCTGAAAAGATTTTCCTCTTAGCATGTTCAGGAAAATTCTCCATTACAGATATTTTTGACTTCACATGTGAAGGCTTGGAGAAATACATCCAGGGCAGCTTTCGACTATCAGACCATATCAACTTGAGAGGCTTGCTTCAACTCCAACAAGAATGTGAACACTGATGGCATAACTAAGCTCAAGATAAATACAGTCCTGGGGAAGAACTATTAAGCACATTTTCTGCCTACATGCAAGGCACCTACTAATGCCACTAAGCTGCAATTTTTTCTCCCCAAAGTAATTGAAAAACAAGAAAATGAGAAACAAACCTAAGAGTGCAAATGCACTGGTAATAATAAAGCTTGTAAAGAACATTAACAGGGAGAAGAGATAGAAACACTCAAGAATTCAATAATTTTATTTTAATGGACAAGACATTAAACATTATAGTATGCAGGTTAAGTAGGAGCTGATATTCCTATAACTTTATTACAACATCATGTCAGTTAGAAATCACACCTACAAGCTGAAAACTTCTGCAGCTCTGCTGCTAGAACAGAACTAAATATCAGGGTAATTAAAAAAGCACACAGGAGAAAAAGCACAGGACTTGTTAGGAAGTGTCCTCAGGTGAGGAATGCAGATTAAGAATTCCATTATTTTATCTGAAATACAGAAAAAGACAAAACAAAAAGCCCAGAGCAAACTATTTTCATAACATCTGACCTCTTCTGCTGCAGCTTCTTTTTTGTATTCATCTTCTCTTTGTGCTACTTGATCTCCCAAAACTTTGATGTTACAAACCATTCATTGCCATCTAAGTGGTGGGTAATTTATCTTGTGGAACTTTGTCAGAACACGTCTGACCACCCAAAATCCTCCTCCTAGCTAGTAAGGCTACCTTCAGTAGGCTTCAGTATTTGCAGCCCCAATTATTGAGAGGGTGGGGTGGAGGGAGAGGCATAAGGCTAGCAGACCAAAGGCACAGACTGCACTTCTTCCTGAGAAATGCAAGGAGCTCTGAGAGATGAAACTGATGATGGTGGAGCACCATGAAGCTCCTCGGTTCATTTTTCCAATGCTATTAACCTTCACCTACAATGCCTGCCCTTAAGTGGTTAAACAGTAACCTGCAAAAGTAAAAAAGTTACAAAAGAGACAATATATGCTTCCCATCTAAAAAAAATTCTGGGAGAGTGGCCAGGCCCATAAAATTGTTTTTAAATTTTATTTGGGAGGATAAATGAGGATATTACAACTCTCAAGCTGTGTAAAAGACTACACTTTAAAATGGACACCAGAGGCTACTATGGAATTTTGAATGCATAAAACAAAAGAACATTTTTGATAGTTTTAGAATTGAACTGTGTCACACAGCACAATTCAGCTATTTACAAGTTTCTATGCTGTAAGTCATGTTATTAAGCTGTAATAGTTTTCTGGTACTCCAAATAATAAAACATTACATAGGGTCAAAACTGAAAGGCTTAACAGAATTTCAGCCAAGAATCTAGTTTGCCTCCCTCTTCTCTAATAATATGGCAATTTTCCACATAGCAAAATGGCAGACTCACATATTTAAAATTTAATCTATGTAATTATGAAATTTCACTTTGTCCTCTCAAAAATTCCTTACTACTTTACAAAGCAGTGCTTCAGTGATTCAAAGCCAATATTCCCACACAAAAAAACAAGAGTGCACTAGTGGAATCATTCCTCCTCCCGTGCCACGAGGGGGTCATTCAATGTCAGCAAGCTCACTTAAATTAGAGCTCTTGCACTTTTCAGAGGAATATCAACAAGCTCTAGATACAGGATGAATATATATATATATGTATAAATATATATGCAAGTACTTGGTCAGAGCAACATTCACATTTTTAGATAACAAGTTTGTATAAAAAGCAATAGATAATCCTCAATTCTGCACTGAGTTCAGTATAACATTAATTAGCTTTTTATACCATATAGTTGAACAACCAGTACGATGCTAATTAAAAATACATATTTGTATTGCCCCCAAAGCTGACATATTTGCATCAGCTTCATTTGCCCCAAGACAAACAAGTAGTGGCAAAGGGCTAATAATGTTTCATGCATTGTTTCTAGCAGAAATCAAAATACTGTAATAGTTTCCTCCTGCTGGAGGGAAAAAAAAAGAGGAGAGAGAAACTTGACCTACATAACAAGGCACAGAAGAAACTCAGTTAAGCTTCAGGGTGTTTTTGGGAGGGGGAAGAGGTTGGTTTTTTTCTCATAACAATGAGGAGTCAAACAGTTACATATGGCTACACTAACTACAACTGTTAGCACATCTGACACTTAACTAGCGTCTCACTTTTAAGGCTTAAAAATCCTCCCCTCCTGTTCCAGGACATTTAATACTCTTGCCCTAACAAGCTAATGAATTAACCGAGTTAATTTTTAGGCTGTCCATTACTTTCCTTTAAGGGAACGTTAGAAAAGGAAAACGAAAAGCCAACCCCCAACTCAGAGAAATTCAGCCTTTCATAGGCTCAGTACACGGAAGGAAAGGAAGAATGTCTGGTTTGGGTTTCTAAAGGAACTGTTTACAGACTCAGTCGGAGAGGCAAACTTTGCTACACTTCGATATAGGTGGGTTTCGAATCACCTTTCTCAGACAAACACCGCCAACAGCTGCCGACTACCCTGAGTTACACAGCTTGAACTTGTTTCACGCCTTGAAGCCTGTCCGGGCCGGTGCCACCGGCCTTCCAGCCTCCCCCCGCCGCTCCGCCCGGCCCCCTCCCCGGCACCCCGGGCCGTGCCGAGCCGTGCCGGGCCGTCCCGAGGCGCGGGGCTCGCTGCCGTACACACCTTCTCCGCTCGGCCCGGCGCTCCCGCAGCGAGCCCCGCAGCGCCGGCGCGGGCGGCTGGGTGCCCAGGGCATCCTCCACAAAGGAGGCAGAGTAGGGGCGCGCATAGCAACAGGGCCGGCCGCCGATTGGCCCCGCGGCCGAGCGCCGGCCCCTCGGCACGGCCCGGCCCGGCCCCCGCGCCCGCCCGCCCGGGCCAGGTGAGCGGGGCGGGCCCGCCGCACGCAAACCACCGGGGCCGCGCTCTCCAGCCGGGACCGGGCTGCGGGGAGGACGGCGGTGCCGACCCCGCGGAGGGGATGCCCAGGAGCCGCTCCCCTGCCCGGGCGCGCTGGCACCGCGCTCCCCGCAGCAGCAGCAGCGAGAGCAGCCGCTGTGTGTGTGTGTCTGTGCGCTGGCACTGCTCTCCCCGCAGCAGCAGCCGCTGTGTGTGTGTGTCTGTGCGCTGGCACTGCTCTCCCCGCAGCAGCAGCCGCTGTGTGTGTGTGTGTGTCTGTGCGCTGGCACCGCGCTGCCCGCAGCAGCAGCCGCTGTGTGTGTGTGTCTGTGCGGTGGCACTGCTCTCCCCGCAGCAGCAGCCGCTGTGTGTGTGTGTCTGTGCGCTGGCACTGCTCTCCCCGCAGCAGCAGCCGCTGTGTGTGTGTGTGTCTGTGCGCTGGCACCGCTCTCCCCGCAGCAGCAGCAGCCGCTGTGTGTGTGTGTGTGTGTGTCTGTGCGCTGGCACCGCTCTCCCCGCAGCAGCAGCAGCCGCTGTGTGTGTGTGTCTGTGCGCTGGCACCGCGCTGCCCGCAGCAGCAGCCGCTGTGTGTGTGTGTGTCTGTGCGCTGGCACTGCTCTCCCCGCAGCAGCAGCAGCCGCTGTGTGTGTGTGTCTGTGCACTGGCACTGCTCTCCCCGCAGCAGCAGCCGCTGTGTGTGTGTGTGTCTGTGCGCTGGCACTGCTCTCCCCGCAGCAGCAGCCGCTGTGTGTGTGTGTCTGTGCGCTGGCACCGCTCTCCCCGCAGCAGCAGCAGCCGCTGTGTGTGTGTGTGTGTGCACTGGCACCGCACACGCAATGTCCCCGCACAGCACCGCTCCGCAGAGCCAGCCCCAGCTGCGGGCTGTGAGGTGATGAATATTTACATCTGGAGCGGAAAAAGCCGCCGGCCCGTCCTCCTGCCAGGCAGCACCAGCCAAGTTCCCACCGCTCTTTTTCCACTGCTCAGCCCAGTCGGGAGCGGCTCGGCCGCCTCACTCCTGTGACCCTCCCCGAGCACACAACGCGAGCAGGATCCAGCTCTCCTTGCACTACTGCAGCTCTTACTTCAGTGTTTGTAATGGGCACTTCTGAGGGCTAATTTATGAGGTTGTTTCAAGAGGGTAGTCTCAAAACAACATGTGCTATTTTAGATATAGTCTAAACAACGTACTGGCTACGTTAAACAATTTCATCCAGCTCTGACGTATTTACAAGTATTAAAGTCAGATGACAGTACCATATTAACATAATCAGTGCAAAAAACCTATCTCACTCCCAGCCTAACCACATCACAAAGCAAGACTAAAACCCTTGTTCTGTAATTAGCTACCATGAAACTATGAAAAGTCCAGATCAAACTAGACTACACAACCACCTTCAAAACCCAGTACCACTCACTAACCCATTCAAGAGCATGGAAAACATGCCACTTCACAAAATTACTTTTCCCCACTCACAGTTTACATACCAGTATAATTTAGCTGTGGTTGCAAGAAATCACAATCTACACAAAATTTTTAAGTAGACATTTTATCTGAGGAAGGTCAGATACCTCTTAGTAGTTGGCCCATTTAAAGATCTCACATACAGATAGTGCCTTACAGAGAATTAGGATGCAAAAAAATACCATTTCATTAGTCACTGACATTCAAGCTTCCTGTATATTTTATTTTACCTGTCTGCTTTCCAAGTATTTTTCCTTCATGGAACATTTACTTCTACAAAAACAACCGTCGTTCACACAGTCTGAAAAAGCAATTTCAGGTTTTCTTAATCAAGCAACTACCTAGCATTTGAGAAAAGTACTCAGATGATTTTCTATAAAACAGCTATTCAGTATCTACAGGAGGAATGGGAGGGGTAAGAGGAATATTTATCACATTAGTAAACATGGTATGTTTAGTTTTGCTAACAAGAGGCAGGAGCAAACACCCGAGTCAATTCCCGCAGAGGCCAGCAGAGACAGCATTTGGGAGTCACCAGCTGTTTTTACAGGCCAGCTAACAATTTTTTAGTGATGAGCAGCTGTCTCTAGCTGATGGGCATACCTACCCAGCACACTGCTCCTCAACAGTCTCCCCACACTGCACTACTGCAGTGCAACCACAAAGATCCTTTTCACACCAGATATTCTCCAAGTACAGTAAAAGCAGGGCAGTTTGTTGACACTCCAGTTTTTAAGGTTACAGTCCTAAACCAGCTGTAGGTACACTGAGCTGAGCTCTGTGCCTGTTTGTGGATGAACACCCCAGAAGTGAATGCATCCAGCCAAATAACATGCTAAATTTATAAACTGCAATATTAGATATTCTACCAAAACAAAACCTACCTTGAAGGACATTACTCATTTATTGGATCTCTCATGCTCCCACAAATTCCAGAGGCACAAGATCCTTTACATGAGAATATGGTAGCACACAGGACTTTATCCTAGGCTGCATACTTCACCATCATAAAGTCCGTGCACTTCAAATACTATTACCATGCTTGCTGTTCTAACACTCTGCAAAATGACAGGCAATAATCAAGATAACCAGACTGTATTTTAACCCACCTTCTGCCACAAATAAAATAACACTTCTAAAAATGAAAAAGGTGAGGTCTTCATAACTGTGGATTTTAACCCAACACTTTGGGAGTAAGCAGCCCTACACATTCCATAAAGCAGGAAATCAGAGCCAAGCATGGTTCATCTCAGTATCAAGTGAATTACACATCAATTCAGAAGCACTTGCCAATAGACATAATTGGCATCATCCCTACATTATAAAAAACACTCAACTTCAACCTTTGAAGGACCATGCCAAAGCACAGGTTGTCTAGTAATGAGCCAGTTCAGAAAAACACTCTAATTCAGGTGCCAGCTCTCCCTTGTGCAGGAAAAGCAAGGTGTGCATGTGACCCCTAAGGAGCAAAGCCTAAGTGACTCCATAGCACCTTATGTTTACACAGCCTAGTCATGGAGACAAGCTAAAAATAAAAATACACTTCTACTAACACATCCCTTCCTTGAAACAAACATTCTGGATTGAGTTACTAATTTGCAGAACACAAAACCACCAAGTGCTCTCATGTAGACTGCTTTATTCCCTTTTTCCCAGTACAGATGCTCAATTCCTCAGAACAAAGCTGAGGTCAGTTCTTGATGCTTGCAGTGCATGTTAAAGAGATGGTTAGACACACCACTCACACTCTGTGTATAGTTTTCCCCTTACTTATGCTCAAATTTCTTGAGTGAGAAAGGCTACATACAGTCCACAGTACACCTAGAGAAGCTGAAAGCACCAGATGCTAACATCCCACTATGATTTTTAAATCAAACAAAGATTAAAACCAAATAGCTGCTCAAATTTCATACTAGTAACTTACACAAGAATGAATTTTGCCAGTTTACAAAAAGTGTCCTAAAACATTTATAAAAGGTCACTCCATCTTCTCAACATGAGGATGGGATGAAAGAACATACAATGTACCATCAAGCACCATAACTTTCATCTCTAGTGGATCCAAAAAACTTTCTCATACAAAGTTGTTAATTCAGCAAGGCTCTCGTAGCAAACATCCAGAGGCAGCACAATAACAGCCAGTCATGACTGGCCTAAGTGCTTGGTGCAAGGTGAGCATTCTAGCAGTTTTATATTGAACTTTGCCTTCAGATATTTCCAGCATTATCAACTATTCCTCCTGTTTCACCTGAACTAGCTATTTGGTTTTACTCCTCCACTTTTTACCAGCAGACTCCTCAGAGGGGTCCTCTACACCTTGCTTGTGTTAGCATGGTGTAGGCAGTTACACCATGAGTACTACTGCTAGTACAGCTATGGCTGCATTACTCAAGGTCTATCCTCCAATTCTAGCTCTCCAGATACTTTGTTTCTCATGGTTTCCCCACAGTAAACAAAATTCCTCTGGCGAATCAAATAGTGCTTCAAAAGGAAGAAGCTGCTTCCCCCTCAGATTAAAACAAAGCAAAGTCATACTTTTCACTAAAAGGTAACTGAAGTGGGAAAACTTTCTATATATAGAAAATATACTTGAAGATAAATTTTAAAGACATTTACAGCAGAGAAAAAAGGGTTTTTACCTTTGAACAGCATGAGTGTTGGTATCAATCCCTTTGACCTAACTGCATTCCCAGTCCATGCTGACCTTCACAATTTTGTCCCTGTGCAGCTCCTATTGATAGGAAACTCCTCCTCTTTTATCCCACATCAATATAATATTTACTGAAGTTCTTCCCTTCTTAATGCAACTATTCTCTTCTCCCTTACCCTCAAATTCACTACTTAATGAAAATTTAAAAATAAAGAACAAGTAAATAAAAGTCTTGAAGATTCAGATCTAACATGCAAAGGAAATGCACCAGTGTATTGTGTACTTGTGACTTTACAGAAAACTGCATATAAAAAAAGCATCAGCTCAACATATCAAAACTTCACTCTCTGTTAACACAGAAGTTATGGCAAGGAGCCATCACAGACATTTACTCAGATACTGCTCTTACAGACCCTCTCTGCCCCCCCAAGCCTGCAAACAAAGCCTTCCACCAAACTTGCTGACCTGCCTGGAAGCGTGAGTTTGAGCCATGGTTTGTTTCACTGGCGTTGCTGGGCTGGTGCCCTGGCAGGGAATCAAGCAGAACAATACCTGGCAGGGGACAAGGGCTTCCCATTGCTCTGAAAAAAAAAACAGGCTGACCACAGCAGCTCTTCCTGCACCTCTCCTTCTCCTTCCCTTGTCCCTCAGAAGAAACCAGCTGCCTCTCTACTACCTCCCATTGCTAACTGTACTGAGGATATGAAATAATACTTGCCACCTTCAATTCTAC